CTGTCATTATTGAACCAAAAATCAGAACCCATGCTCTTAAGAAATGACTGTTTGGACTTGAGAATATGCTGAGGAGGGAAATTATTAGACAGAAAACAGACATCATGGTAAAATTCATCTACTTACCTAATTTTAGCAAGTTTTTATTGAGCATCTCCTATACCCCAAGCACTATTCTAGGTAATGGTAATACAGCAGAGGATTAAAATAAAATACACTATTCTACCCAGGTGAGATTAGATTTTGGGGAACAGGATGAACAAATTAAGAGAACTGCACAGTATACTGAACCTTGGTACACGTTTCAGGATGAGGTAGAATGGAGGTAGGACATTGTTCCAGGTAAAATGAAGACATGGCTGCTCCCCAGATGCCTGGTATATCTGATATCACCCCTCGGAGCACCCAATCTTTCTTCCTCACCCCAACTCCCCTCTTAAGCATTCACCTGGGCCTCTCAGCGAACCTCCTAAACCCCTTCTACCTCTAGTGTCTACAGCCATTCCCTGAAGTCACATCACCCCCCACCTGAGAAGATTAGCAAGGGCTGACAATTTGCCTCCACTTTTGTCACCACTCCGCTGTCTTTGGAAGAAGCTCTAAGTCCTTCAAAGGAGCCATGGCTACCCAGTAATCTAGCTCCCCCCACCTGCCTCTTCATGACACACCAATCATCTTGACTGCAAACTGAAACACAGGCTCCTCTCTTGCCTAGAAGTTTAGGGCACCTCAAGGGATGTTCTGAAAGCTACAGCCCTTCATGCCCTTAGGCATGACGTTTCCATAAAGCTGCCTTATCTGTCTGGTAAACCCTGAAGATAATCATTGGGCAGAAACTTCTAAGACCTACCACTTCCTGGGAGCTAGCTGCCCCCCCTGGGCAGCACCGGAACCCCACCCTGAGGTGGTAAGCAGACCTCGTTCAGAAAGCACAGTTTGCGGACACAGCTGCTAGAACAAACCCTAACCTAAAACCAAAGATGCTTAAAGATGGGAGATGTGCATGACTATAATCCTAGCACTCTGGAGTTTGATACAGAGGGATCACCATGACCCTGAGCTACACAGTTCACCTTGAACTACAGAGCAAAAGCCTGTCCCCAAAAATATTAAAAACAGATGCTGGAGAGACGGTTTGGCAGTAAAGAGACCCTACTGCTCTTCTTGAAGACCTAAGTTTGGTTCCCAGCACCTGAATGCTTACTGAAACCATCTGTAATTCCAGTGCTAGGGAAACTGATGGCCTCTTCCGGCCTTTGTAGACAGCAGGAATGCATTTGGAGCATAGACATATGCACATTCATGCACATGAGATAAAAAACAAATAAATAAAACGTGATCCTTTGGGGTCATCTACTTCTTCAGACTGAAAGAAAGAGATGACATTTCTTCTGAATCTCTTCAACACCAAGGACAGCAGGTAACATGGTTGGATTTTACTGTGATGTCCTTGGACTGAGATCAGGAACCTTGTGCATTTCTCTCCACGTCCTACGGCACAAACTCCATCCACTACATCAAATCATATGAACTTTCAGAAATAAGCAATGACCCTTCACTTGTTGATGCATAGTATTTTTCAAGTTGAAATAGCCTTTTTTATATCTTTTAATTTATGTGTATGTGTCTGTGTGTTTGTATGTACAAATATGAAAAGGTGCTGTGGTGGTTTGAGCAAGAATGGCCCCTATAGGCTCATATACTTGAATGCTTAGTCATCAGGGAGTAGGACTATTTGAAAGGATTACAGGGAGTAGGAGATATGGCCCTATTGGAGGAAGTGTGTTACAAGGGTGGGCTTTGAGGTTTCAAAAGTCCACGCCAAGCCCAAAGTGCGTCTGTCTGTCTCTGCCTATGGATCCAGACAAAGAACTCTCAGCTGTATCTCCAGCACTGTGCTGCCCACAGTGATGATAATGAACTAACCTCCGAAACTGTAAGCAAGCCCTCAATTAAAGGCTTTCCTCTTTGGCTTGCCTTGTTCATGGTGTCTCTTCACAGCGATAGAACTGTGACCAGGACAGATGCGTACCGAGGACAGAAGTGTGTCAGACCCACTGGAACTGTACTTCTAGGCGGCTGTGCCTACCCGATATAAGTGCTGGCAAACAAACCTCAGTCTTCTGAAAAAGCAGCAAGCTTTTTGACCACCAAACCATCTCCCCAGTCCTCAGTTGAAATCACTGGCCCTAAACAATCTGACTCCTGATTCAAAAGTCAGTGCTAGAATCCACTTCCTCTAGATTCTGAGCCTTTCTGCCTCTATGTGCACATAATTTTGCTCATCTATGCATTATAATACACCATGTTTTCAGTCTGTTGGAGCTGGTGGTAACTTACTAAACTCTCATTTTTTACACACATCTTTATGTAAACTGTGGTGATAAATTTTCCAGTTCCACAACGTCATATGCACAGTCATGCACATAACATTCTCCTTGCATGTTTACTCTGTGCCAGACCCTGTGCGAGGAACAAGCAGTGAGCAAACCTGATGTAACGGGATTACAGATGGAATAATAGAATTTTAAGTGGGATAAAGTCAAACTTCATTTTTCACAGAGTCACTCTGTACTTATATTGTCTAACTCTATTGCCACTGATCAGGAACCACTTTTAGAAAAAGAATATTGATTACTCTACATAAAAATAAAAGGTCATGCACTGAGCATCAGCCAGCAAGAGTCTACAAACACAAACACATTTTTACGCTTTACTACAGAACACAATGGCATTGTGCTTTTATTCTAATTCTTTGTTACATCTGTTTTTGTTGCACTAAGTGTATTTCAAAGCCCAGTCGTGAGTTATTAGCCATGCTCCAGAAACATAAACGAGACTATTTCTACACTGACTGTAGGCTTGTCTTTTCAGCCCGAGAGTCTCTCTGAAGAAAACCCAGCATTTACATTTCATGATAAACAGCTGAATAAATTAAATGTTTTCTCGGGAGAATGAAACACAAAGTAAGGGTAAGGTCCGTTGCTTAATCTCAAGGACATAGCACTTGGCAGACAGACTCTTACCTGTTTATTGGATTGAATTGAGGCCTACCTAGGTAAAGGTCCAGACTAAAATACCAGTCACAGATAGGGTTTATGGCAATTGATACGTTTCTCTCACATGTACTATTTTAACTATAATATCGTATATCTATCTGCTCTCAAAAACATCATGTTCCTTGGCAACTCCCAATTCACAGATGTTGCTCCTTTCCCCATCGGATTCCAACTTCAGCCCTCATGAATCAAAGAGACAGGCCTCTCCATTACCTCAGAACTAACTTTTTTTCGTTTGGAGACAGGGTCTTTTTACATATCCCTAGCTGACCTGAAACTCACTGTGTGAACCAGGATGACCTTAAACTCACAGTGGTCCGCCTGACTCTGCCTCTCGGGTGCTGGGATTAAAGGTGTGCAGCACTATGCCTGATTTCCAACATTTTTCTTAAGCAAATTAACTTCAAAATGTTAGGTTGCAATTTTTTTAATTCTTTTTTTTTTTTTCTTCTTCTTCTTGAAATACACTGTCCAATAATCTCAGAAGACTGGGGGTTGGGGCTGGGGCTCTGTTACTGCAATCTATTTATTTATTTGTTTGTTTGTTTGTTTGTTCATCAACACAACTTCAGCAGTGAGCAGACCACTCTCTAGAAGTTTCTCTGACTTGAAGGAATCACCTATTCCCGCCTTTATATTTGGAGCCCCTTTCCAGCCTGTGCCCTGACCCCATTCTGCCTCCTGTGCATCTCTGCACCCCTAGAATTCCTTGCCTCTCACCCCTCCTTGCCCTGCAGTACCCTGTTCTTTCAAATACACATTTTTCTGACTACAGGGTCAGTCTATCAAACTCAAACAGGATGGAGGGTAACAACTGGGGAGCGACTTTTCTAGCTGGAGAACAAAATGTTGATATTTAACTTAGTGGCATCAGTTGTCTTGAAATACTGTTTCGTTTTTTGTTTCCTCTTCCTTTTCCTCCCTAGTTTCTTTACTTACATATTTTATTTCCATTGTAGACTCGGTGGGGAAAATGTTAAAAAGTAAAACAATATTAGCTTGACAAAGCAAAACAAAATACGCTTGACAGAAACATGCAAAGAAAGATTCCACCATGAGATGCACCTCTAGAAGGCGGATTTTGGGTTTTGACTTTTTCAATATTTGAAATATTTGAAAATAAAATTTCAATTTTATTTTCAAATATTTCAAATGTCTTACACTGTGCTTGTTTATTTGGGGAGAAAGGCCTGGGATTTGTAAAAGCCTGGGATCCAAGGGTAGAAGGTGAAAGCCAACTTCCACAAGGCTTTAACTTTCCGTTTCTTTCATTTTTATGTGCATTTGTTTTATGAAAATTCATTCTACACAATGAAGTCATTCCTGTCATGTGCCACAGAAACAAGGCACTGAGGGTGGAGTTGTGCTGGGGGCTTGTGAAAGGGTAACACTGTTAAGAGAAGGCTTCCAAACAGAAGCGACCTACTAACACACTCTCTCTTTCCCACCCACGGACCTTCTGGCTAGCTGTGACTAAGGGCTTGCCCCTGCTAAAAGTAGGTAAAAGGTCCATGGATTTCTTCCAAAATAATCTCTGATCTCCTCATCCTAACAAAACCCCTTTGTTCACCGGACAGTTCACCCGGCCAGTTTCTTGTGTCCAGTTCCCTGATTCCCCGTTTATTCTCAAATGGAAGTTCCTTTGTAGGAGATGCATGACTCTTTTGGTTTTTTCCCCCACTCTCCCCAACCCCGGGCTTCTCAGGATTAGTTAGGCTTCTCCCTCTCCCGTCCCTGCTGCCCCTGGAGTCCTCTTCATGTATCCAAGTCCTGGAACCCTCTGCTCCCTGGGACACCTGGCAGGCATCTCTCACCTCCCTGAACCCCAAAGTCTAGGCCCTGTCTCGCCCCCCTGCGCCCGAGTGCCCTGCTCTCGCGCCCCGCGTGGTGGCATTCGCCGTGGAAGGGAGCCCGGCCGTCGCCCAGCGCGCGCTGCCTTACCCTCTGAGCGCCGGGATCGCGGGGTAGGCGGGCCAGCCCAGCAAAGAACGACCGGCCCAGCGGTGCCATGTCTGCGGCCGACCTCGGTCCTTGCCGCCAGGGCCCGCCTCCGCCGGAAGCCTCCGTTCAAGGGCGGCTGGAGGGGCCGGGCCAGGCGGCGACTGCAAGCCAGCGAGTCCCGGGAGGGGTCAGGTGCCGCGGCACGCAGGCTGCTGCTCCTTGCAGTGCCCGGCTCTCCCCGGCAGGAGAATTTCGTCCAGAAGAGAATGGGTTCGGGACCAGCTCCTGCGCCTTGCAAATGTTTCCCGAAACACGCAATCTGCACAGCTAGTGCACCGAATGCCTTTTGGTCCTTTGCGTTTATTCCTCACGTCTGTAAAGCCGTGGTCCTCACAAAGTTCCATCACGTACTGTCTATCAGAATAATATTTTTGTACTTAGAGCATGGCCTCTTTTCTAAAGCCCAGCATACCGTGAAATGTCGGAGGGCACACAGTCGCCTATCACAAGAAGATTGGCCAAGCCCTTACTTATCTCTCTGAGGAACTAGCGCACCCTTAAAAGCAAATGCACAATTATCATATAAATGACTTGCTACAACCGTGCAGGGCACTATAAAAGATTACGGTTTTTCAGACTTGAAATAGAAAGAAAGAAAGAAAGAAAGAAAAAAAGAAAGAAAGAAAGAAAGAAAGAAAGAAAGAAAGAAAGAAAGAAAGAAAGAGAAAGAAGGAAGGAAGGAAGGAAGGGAGGGAGGAAAGAAGGAAGGAAGGGGAGAGAAAGAAAGAGAAAAAAAGAAAAGCATTTAGCACACAGTGCAGCCTGTCCTTACCAGATTTTAGATATAGGCATGTGCCCTGGCTTGTTTTCCCTGCTGCACTGCTAAGCTCCTCTACCTCTGACCTGGCCCTGGACAGCGAGGTAACACACCTAGTGAAGTACCTTGCTGCCAACCCTGAGTTCCATCCCTAGGACCCACAGGGTGGGAGAGAACCAACTCCAGCCCATTGTCGTCTGAGCTCTGCACAGGTGCTGACACACACAAATAAATAGATAAATCTGTTTAAAACTCTGTAAACACTTAGGGAGAGAAAAACAGGGGAAAGTGCTTGTTTTAGCTTACAGCTCCAGATCCATTGCAATGGGAAGTCAAAACAGCAGGAGCTGGAAAGTGAGGTCACAAGTCCGTGTCACTAGCCTGCTCCTAGGTTGCTTAGACCTGTGATGTCATCATTTGTCACTGCCGCCAGGGGCCCAGGATAAAAGGATCCCTGCCTCTTACTTTGCTGTGTCTTTCTCCTCTCTTGCTCTCTCTGCCTCAAATTTTTTCCTGGGGGACCCCCACCTCTCTCTCTCACTCTCTCCTCTCTTTCTCTTTCTCTCTCTCTCTCCCCCCCCCCCTTCTCTCCACCTCCATCCAATAAATGTCTTTAATATAGTATCTGTTGTGTGCATGGCATCATTTTTATATAAATACTAACAGTCACACAGCGTTGCAAGACAGGAGAAAGCAATGAATGTCTTTGCTAGTCGTCAGGCCTCCCTCTCCATTCTGTAAGGTTCAGGATCCCCTGCTGGGGGACAGTTCTGTGCAAGATGGCTCTTTCCACACCAGTTAACACAATCAAGATAACTGCCAGGCCTCAAAGGCTGTTCACTTATGTGATTCTTTCAAGTTCACAATTAACAATAATCGTTGCAGTTCTGCTGTTTATCAACCTAATGCCCAAACGCATTAATTTTAAGCAATAGCCTTCCATATTTATCCCTATACACTCATGTTATAATGTAAAATGTATTCCATCTGACTTTAAAAGTCCCCATAGTCTTAAACAATTATAAGACTTTAAAATTCCAAAGATTTGGATCAAAAACAAGTTAAATACTCCCAACATACAATGGCACAGAGTAAGAATTCCTGTTCTGAAATGAGACCAACATATAATATGAGAATGAGAACATGACCACTCCTAGGCTGTTCACAGCTTGCCAGTGTTGGACCATAGTCTGCAAGTGATTCTAATAAATCCCATATATACATATATATATATATATATATATATATATATAGAGAGAGAGAGAGAGAGAGAGAGAGAGAGAAAGATTCATTCTGTGAGTTCTGCTACTCTAAAGAATTCTGACTGATGCAGAGGGTTAGGCTGAAATTGTCATGGTGGGAAGAAGACATGCATGGCATTAGGCAGTCACTGAGACTTTTATCCTGATCTACAGCTGGCAAACAGAGAGAGAGAGAGAGAGAGAGAGAGAGAGAGAGAAACACTGGGCCTGCTGTGGGCTTTTGAAACGTCAAAGCCCACCCTCAGTAACACACTTCCTCCAGCAAAGATACACTAACTCTAACACGGCCACACCTCCTAATCCTTCTCAAACAGTTCATCAATGGTGGGCTAAGCATGCAAATATATGAGCCTGTGGAGGCCGTTCACACTGAAACCACACCAAAGGGTAAAGGGTATGAAGGGACACACACACACACTGAATAAATGGGAAAAGTTTCTTTTTCCTCTTTGAGACAGGGTCTCACCGTGTAGTCCTGGCTCTCCTAGAACTCACATGTAGACTAATTGCCCTTGAACTCTCAGAGATCCATCCTCCTGTCTCTGCCTTCTTAAGGCGTGTGCTACCACACCCAGCTAGGGAAAGTTTCTTAACAGCTTTTTAGACATAGTTTACAATCATACACCTCCGTACATGTGTATGTACACACACACACACATACATACACACACACACATGACCACCACAAGACACTTCAGAAGTGCAACTCTCTTCTCAGAAGCCCACACCCCTGCTCTTGGATATGTCTTACTCGTCCTCCAAGCACCCCTGTGTTAATCCCTCCACTTAAATCTATGTTGAAAAATCTCCTTTCAACAATCTAATTCTGCTTTGTACAATCCTTTTCTGCTGTGAAGTTAAGGAGCCAGCTTAGTCTGAATGGCAGTACCTAAAGGATAAGACAGTCCATACCCTGCTGCTGACACCAGCTCTGGGCTGCCTCCTCCTCCTGCCGCTGATAGGTAATTGATTAAAAGCACTGGGATTGTGAAGAGTGGAATTGTTCATAGCCATTCATTGAACGTTCTTCTGTCTGACTCATCATCTTTGTAGCAGCTAAATCCTTTTAACATGTTAACAGACAACTAGCTTCCAGCAACAAAAAGCTAAGAATGTCATCAGATACCATAAAGACCTTTCATACATTTCTCTCCCCTGATGTCTACCAAAGTATTTAGAAAGTACATTGATTTATGACTTTTCTTCTGTAAATATAACTTCAGAAAATTATTACCATGTTGGAAGAGGATATTTAAAACCTGAATGCATATCTTGGGGCAATGGTCACTCATATTTAGCTTAAGAATATAGTATCTTTTGTTCTTTTTGAACTGAGAACATGTATGTTTAAGAACCCGCTTCCTCCAAGAAGGAATCGCCTCAGGTTTCCTTCACCTCCCAATAAGTTTAAAGCGCTTTGAACATGCCTTAGTCTAGTACTAGACAGCAAATACTCACTATTTTCCTCTGTGTAAAGAATGGTTGCTAAGCCAGAATGATACGACGGGAACTGACACTGTGCTTGTAGTATTTCCTTTTTTCATGGTCTCCCATGTAGCGATTGTTTAGCAAGTTGAACTAGAAAATAAACTACCTCAGTGTTGTTGTTTTTTTTTTAAGGAGTAGAGAATTGAGGTGGAATTTCAACTCTCATGATCAAAGCGATGTCCACAAGCTACCAAACTACTAGTTAATATTTTGTTAGTTTTATAAAAACCCAATATATAGTGCCCTGTGTAAAATTTTTAAGTTGACTTTGATTAGGCTCATAGCTTCTGGAGTAAGGAAAATATTTGAAAGGAGTGGTCAGTGTCTCCCAGCTTTGTAGTGTAGACACAATTAAGAATTAAAAGTTTCAGGGTGGCCAGGGCTTCAAAGAGAAACCCTGTCTGTAAAAACCAAAAGAGAGAGAGAAGAAAAGGAAGAGGAGGAGGAGGAGGAGGAGGAGGAGGAGGAGGAGGAGGAGGAGGAGGAGGAGAAGAAGAAGAAGAAGAAGAAGAAGAAGAAGAAGAAGAAGAAGAAGAAGAAGAAGAAGAAGAAGAAAAGAAAAACTAAAAAGCTTAGCACCTGAGCTCAGCATGGTGGCACACACCTTTAATCCCAGTGCTTGGGAGGCAGAGGCAGTCAGCATGGTCTAGAGTTCCAGGCAAGCCAGGATTACATAATGAGACTCTCAATAAAGCAAAACAAAAATAATAATAATAATAAGCTTAATTTTTGAGCTCGATTGTCCTTGTAAATAAAGGAAGAAGTCTTAGTGTAAACAGTTGGCTCTCCAGCTAAGTCTTAGATTCTAAGAGTTCTGGGTTTTTAGATTCTAGCAACCACAGACCAAAAGATATCATTTTAACAAAGTATTTCTGCTGAACATGAACAGATTGATTCTTATTCTGTAAACAACGGGACATGACAACTGTTCAAAGAGCATTTACATTTTCTTATGTATGGCATGTAGTCTAATAGCCAATTACACTGTGTGGGAAGATTACTGTGCTAGGAATTTATTGGTGCTGAGGATCAAAACCACTGCATCATGCATGCTAGGCAAGTACTACATCTACTCTGCTTGTGTCTGTATCAGCTCTGTATTTTAGTCTTCCAAATGCCTTGACCTCTATCGATACAGTCTCTTTAACTCCGCTGCAATCATTCTTTAATCTACACACATTCACGTATGATATGTAACACGTTATCTCAGTTGTTACTAGTAATTTCAACTGAAATAAAAAAAAAAAAAAAAAAACAACTTGTTTGCCAATGATCAACTATTAAGGGATATTGGGACCACTTGGCAAATTGCAGCCAAAGATACAAATCAGCTTGTGAGTTTACTGTTATGCAGTAAACTCTGACATTGCGTAAAGACGCAACATGTCATAATGCACACAGGACAGACTGGAAAAGAGTAAACTAAGTTGGCTTTGGCATGAAATCTTCATTTTCACCGACACTACCACAAATGGTGTAAATTAAGACGTTAAATAGGGGAAACAATATAGCCCACCAGTACTTTAATGCATTTCATGTACACTCCACATGACTCCCGAGATTTTTAAACACTATTACAGTGTGTGGCTTGAAAGCGGGAGGGGGGTTGGGGCCACCGCACCCTTTAACAGGACACATTCTGCACTGCACTGCTGCCTCCTCAGCACCAGGGGGCGCCGGCGGCGCGCTCCGGCCTGGCTTCCCGCGCTTCCGAAGAACTAGGCTGAGTCCCGGGAGCGCGCACGTCCCGGAGCCCGCGCCCGTGCAGCACGGTGGCCGCGCAGGCTGGGCAGCCGCGGTTGGCGTGGCGCGTCGCGGGGTTCTAAGGCGCAGGGCCCATGTGGAAACTGCTCCCGGCCTCCGGAGCCGCTCCAGGTCGGTGCGTTAAGGAGGCGGCGGGGAGTCCTGCCCGGGCGGCTGCGGGGAGGGGGGAAGCTGCGGGGCGCGCTTCCGGCCCGCCCTCCTCGCCTTCCGGCGGGCGCCCGGACGTCCCAGACCCGCTGAGTGCGGACGCTGGGTGTTGGGAGCCCAGACGGGAGCCCGTTGTCCTCGCGCGGTGAGGTGGGCGCGCCCAGGCCAGGCCGGCCCCGGCCAGGCTGAGGACCTGAGAACTGAAGCCCTGAAGGGACACACCAGGCCCAGGTAGCGCAGGCGCCCAGCAGGGCTGGGGACCCTAGACGAGAACCCACGCGGAGGCGTAGTTGCGGAAAGTCCCATGGCAGCACAGGACCACTTGAAAGTTTTCAGAATTTGCCCGCACACATCTCAACGATGAGGTCGTGGGGATCCTCCACCCACCCATTTTTACGCAGTGAAAAGGTTATCCTGTGTTAAGTGCTTGTCCCCTTCCATAGTCAGTATTAGTTGATGAAGGTTAAGCCCTTGCCTGCGAGTGTATTTTGTCCTCTGGGAATCTTGTGAGGATGCATTTACTAACGGTGTGAAGGGAAATAGGTCTGAAAGATTTGCCGTGTGCGTTGCCGAGGTAGAATGCAGATTTGTGTTGGTGAGCAAGTGGGACTGAATAATTAGCCTTGAGCCTCGCTGACTCTATGGCTTTCTGTAAAATATCAGAAATGTCCCGGATATGGTGGCACAGGCCTGTAATCCCAGGGCTTGGGAGGTGGAAAAAGGAGGATCAGGAGTTCAAGGACATCCTCAGCTACGTAGTTTGACGCCCGCTGCTATATGAGGTCCTGTCTCAAAACAAACAGCCCGCCAGATACAAGTTTGAGAGAGGGAAGGGTCCCTGAATTGCTTGTCATCTTGAACCGTAGAGCTTCCCAGAGCTCCATACAACCCTGTGGCCAGGGAATACTTTATAGAGGAAATGGAAATAACATAGGAAAGCACCTTGGTTGAATTTTACTTCAGCAGCCCGCGCTTCTATAAGGACTCTATCTGATCCGTTGGCAGTCTGTGACTGACTGATACCTGGCTATCTGTTAGAAAAGTGTACTTTTAGGCTAGTGTTCAGTATTCACCCCGACAGCCTTAACCCTTTATTAACAGATGATAGCAAAATAAACACACTTATAGAATCAGTGGCAGAGATACATCTCAGAATCTTACGGAGTCTAATGGGTTAGTTTTCAAGTTAGTTGGTCCCCTTTGTGTTAAGTCATAAGCTAACAATGTTTTCCTTCCTTGAAACTGTCCATCTCTGGTAAACTGAGTGTGATGGTGCCTGCCAGTAATCACAGCTCCTGTGAGGCTGGGCCGTGGATCTTGAGTTGGAGGACAGCAGGCGGGCAGCATAGTGAGACTTCATCTCAAAAGTGAAAAGTGAGAAAACAAACCAAAATCTCATTGACAAGCTACAACTCAAAAAATGTAGAAAGGTTGCTGGACTCCTTTCCTGCCTGTCTAGTTGTGATAATTACTCTCCCATGGAATAGAAGTCCATGTTTCCAGTCTCTAACATTGCTCCAACAGCTGGTGATTTACAACTTGTTTTTTTTTTTTCTTCTTCTTCAACTTTTTATTGAATCTTTGTGAATTTCACATCAGGCACTTCCGTATCACTAATCTCTCTCTGTCCCTCCATTTCTGCTGTCTGCACTTTTAATCTTCTCCACAAAAGAAAACAAAATCTCTCTGTGGAAGCTGCAGTGTGTATAGTGTATCACACAGTATATTGGGCCTTTTGCCCCAACAGCTTTTCTTGCAATCATTCACTGCAGTGAGTCATTGGTCTGGTTTGAGGCCTGTGGCTTCTGCTACACTATCAATACTGGAACTTGCTGGGACTTCTCTTGGATATCCTGTTGCTACCCTGTGTTATGGAAATGCTGCAACTTTGGAACTGCAGGACTGGCTCCTTCACGGGCTCCAGCAGTTCATAGATGACGTAGATGTTGGGCTGAGCCTACTTAAAGCTCTGGATCTGGGCCTGGGTGTTAGCTGAGTTGGTCAGCCTGACATCTCTCCTGCACCCAGGCCACCAGCACTGCCCAGGTGAGGATGGAGCCATCTCACTATAACCAGCAAGGGGCCGGCCAGTTCTCTCCTAACCCATGCCCTTGGGGCCTGCTCACCTGCAATCAGGGCCAACTTTACCGTGTGTCCTGGGTGAGGGGGCAATCCCCTGATTACTGCAGCTGTTGAGGAGCGGGGCCAGCTCTGCAGTCTTTGGACCTCAACAGGGCCATTGCCTTTGGTGGTAACATGGGTCACAGACACTGACACAGACCCCACCGTCACCACCACCACACACACACACACACACACACACACACACACACACACACACACTGCTGCAGGATCACAGCCCCAGACATGGCCCTATACAGCAGCATGGACCAGGACCTCTGCAAGGCCTCAGGTGGCACTGTAGGCTACTCATGTCAGGCAGCTCCTCACTCCCTCAAGTCACCATTTCCGCCGCTCCTCATTGTGCACACACCATTCTGCTTCTCTTTCTCGTTCACATCTTCACCACTTACTTGCTCATCTTGGTACCTGTGGCCTCTGCTGAGTGGTCATCAACAACTTTTTTTTTAATTAATAATTTTCCACTGATTTGAAATGCTACCATTAACAGTAAAACAGAAGTCTTCCAAATGTGTAGTTGTATCTGATCTTAAGTGTATTAATCTATGTTTTTTTTTCCCCTGGTCCATTGAAACATCTTTTAATTACTATAGCTTTTTGGGGCATATTTTACAACTCGAATTCCTTTAACATGAGTACATCTCAACATCTTAAAAACACTTAAGGCTGCCCTTCCTGAAGATCTGGGTTCAGTTCAACAGTCTGTAATCTGACACCATCCTCTGGCCTCTGAGTATTTATCTATTTTTATTTTTTTAGAGAAGGTCTCAGTCATATCAACCTGGCTGGCCTCAAACTCACAAGAGATCTGCCTGGCTCTGCCTCCTGAGTGTGGGCTTTAAAGGCAGGTGCCACCATATCCAGCTTGCCTGCTTTATTTTTAAGATATTTTCCCAATGAAGTTTTGATATTATTTAATAATCTCCAAAATCAGTAGTGTGACTTTGTTTTATAGTCTGTTGAATTTATGTTATGTTGGAGGGAGTATTGATTCACTGTTGTTTTCCCTTTGTAAAGTGATAAAGGCTTCCATGTATATAAATAACCTTTCCTGTCCTGTATCCTTCAGTGAGGCTTTATTAAAAAACAAAAACATGGGACCAGAGAGATGGCTCAGCAGTTAAGACCTTTTGTTGTTCTAGCAAAGAACCCAGGTTCAGTTCCCAGCATCTACATAGTGGCTTACAACCATCTGTTACTCCAGTTCCGGGGGATCTGATGCCCTCTTATGACTTACAGGGGCACCAGTCGTATGTAGAGAGTATGAGGGCCTTGTGCACACAGATAAGCACTAGGGAACCCAGGAAAGTTAAACATGAAGGTTTATTCTCTTCAAAAGAAGGAGATATTTGCCCGTTTTCCACCAGGGATGCAGAGAAGGATGTAGCTCACAACCTGGGGATCTTTGGCTTTCAGGAGAGTCAGGCTTCACCTGACTCCCACAGACTATTCTGTTTGTTTAGCCCAGAATTTCCCCCCAAAACTTTGCGCATTGCTTTTCAGTCCATTAAACCCACCCTATAAGAGATATCACTTGTACGTTACAACAGCTTCAGTTCCTTCTGTGTTATCTCAGGCCAGTCCTGACACCCACTGACATTGTGTGTACCTCAGCCACACACCCCCAGTGGGTTCTAAGTCAACAGAACCCACCTTTGTGGAAAAAGCCATATGTAACGTACTTTGTAAAGAGTTTTAGTGTAAAGGTGTCTTAAGTTTTGTTGTGCTCACAGTACTAAGTTAATTGTCATCAGGAAACTTTTTTCCAAAGTTGTGCTGTGCCTAAATATGGCTAAAATCAACTGCCTGGTGTCAGGCTCTAGAAGTTTGAGCCAGCCTTGGGTAAGTCAAGCTGAACCAAGCTTCATTTTTGACTCACTGTGGAGAGCTGGCAGGGACTGCCACACATGATGCACCCACATACATGTAGGCAAAGCACATAAGTAAATCCAACAAAAAATTGTTAAAGAAAAAAACCACATTTGATGTAAATAATTTGTTTACATATAAATATATATTTGTATAAATATACACACATAATGTCAAGTTGCTTAGCATTTAAATAGCAGAAGTGTGCTTTAATTTTAATACCTATTCAGTATATCCTATATCATGAATATATGTATGTGTATGTGAATCTTAAAATTTACTTCCTTTTGTTCTCCCTTAGGAGAACCATGCAGACTTTTGGCTGGCGTCGAGTACATCGTTGGAAGGAAAAACTGTGCCATTCTAATCGAAAATGATCAGTCCATCAGTCGAAATCATGCTGTGTTATCAGTAAACTTTCCTGGAACCAACTTAGTATGTTGCTACCTTTATTTTACCGTCTTTTAAGCAGTTTAGCCAAAACAAAACAAGAAACAGCAATAGAAAAACCCACACTTAATTAGTAGTGGCCCTAGTCATATTTATTTTGAATAGGAAGCTTCTATTTGAGAGTTTACTTTTTCTTTGGGTAATTTTGAAATTCAGAGAAAGGATTAGAAGACATTTTGTGTCATTCTTTGTCAGTGATGAAATAACATAAGATAAACAGTTTAAAGAGGGACTCACGGTTATAGTCTGTGATCTCCCTGCTTCATGGTATTGGATCTGCAGCCCAGGCCATGTTTAGTGCCATGGAACACTTCTTAGGAGGCCAGGAAGCACTCAGACAGGAAAGAGTGGAGGACCCAGAACTCCTCCAGAGTCCACTTGCACCGTCTAACTCCCTTCCACTGTCCCCTCAGGCTACAGCTAAGCCTTTAAGATATCTTTGCCGCATACTCAGATCCCGCAAACTGTCGGGCATTTATTGACGGTTTGTGTGTGTCGGTCATGTGCCAGTTCTGGGAATACAACAGCGAAATACATTCATGACCTACAGTCTTAAAGGATTTTGCAGCTGTGTAGACACTGGCTGTCCCATGTAACACATTTTCAGTATAGGAACTGATATATTTTACTAAGGAAAAGAACTTGTTAATGCTGTTTAGTTCCATTGAATGGCTCTGAGTGTGCTCTGTCACAACCATAGATGGTGGAAGTGATAAAGTATTTTTACCTATCTGTGCTTATTTTAGTACCTGTGTATAAGAAGAGTTATTGTTTCATGCGTACTCTGCATATATGATATGTGCTCAAACAAATTCAGGTTTTAAGTCTTTTTTTTTTTTTTTTGGAATAGAGAAAATGTTTATTACTGAAATTTCTCTAAGAAAAGTAAAATAGTTGCATTCAGTCAGGAACTCTAGCCTTTTAGCCTTGTATTCTCATTGGGTTAGTTTTTCATGATACAATTTTGATAATGTAAAAAAAAAATGTATAGGAGAGGATACGCCTGGCTTGTTACACACAAACAAGACTGTACTAAACAATAAAGCCTCAGAAAAGTGAATTTGAATGGTTAGGGAAATCCACACTGTCCTAGCAGTGAAATCTGACAGGTAATTCTTAGCTTTAGGAAGTGACCTTAGGGGAAATGTTAGCTGAGTGGTTGTTCCCTGTGGGTGGCCTCAGTGGAATCATTATCTGTTTACTTTTGCTACCCAGAAAGTTATCAATCTTGTGAAATCTATGCTGTAATTGCTAAGTGGCGAAACACCTTAAATCATTTGTTGATTTTTTTTTTTTTTCAGAGTCAAACAGATGAAATTCCTACATTAACAATAAAAGATAATTCTAAGTATGGAACCTTTGTTAATGAGGAAAAAATGCAGAATGGCCTTTCCTACACTTTGAAGACAGGAGATAGAGTTACTTTTGGGGTGTTTGAAAGTAAATACAGGTAAGAAGTTTCAAAGCTGATGTGAAATCTACAACTTTATTTGAAATTCTAAAGGAAGAGACTGGGAAAAGAATTGAAAGTTCCCTAACTGGATCGTTGTTAGGCCCTGAGAGCTGTCATGGTAGCTCGTAGATTACATTGTAATGTTAACTCGTGTCATTGCTTTTTCTTCATTAGGACTCAGAATTTAAGAAATGACTATTTCTTAGGAAAAATAAAATTAACAAGACTGATACTTTAGACTCCTGTAAGTTGGTGTCTCTGTAACCACAGTCTAACTTCATGTAACTTGCTTTTATTTGCAGAGTAGAATACGAGCCTTTGGTTGTTTGTTCGTCTTGTTTAGATATCTCTGGGAAAACTGTTTTAAATCAAGCTATTTTACAGCTTGGAGGACTTACTGCAAGCAACTGGACAGAAGAATGTACTCACCTTGTCATGCCATCAGTTAAGGTCACCATTAAAGTAGGTTGGAGTCTTTCTATGCGGAGATCGACTTCTGTCGGGTTAAGCTCAATTCCTTAATTTACACAGACTTTTACAATCATTTACTTTGAAACTGTCAGAGTGGCTGTAGATTCATGTACACCATGTTGTATTTGGGCTTGAATGGCTTCTCATTATCTCAGAGAAGAAGTACACTGATTTATAGTTCAGGTTTTGATTTGCCATTCTTAAAAGGTGTTATATTACCCCTTATTATGAACATTTATTTGATTGTATAGATCATGTTTTCAATCCGAGACAGAGACTAGAGTTAAACTGCTTGGCCACTCTTGAAGGCTAACAGCTCACGTCTCCTCTGTCTAGTGCCTCTTCTGTCCTCATACCGTCTCATGATCTCACACTCCTGTTTTGTATTGAAGATTCTGTTCACAAAGACTTTGGAGTTTTTGTAATTTAGTATTACCTTAGTGAGTCTATGTAGATTTGCGTTCTTCACGACAGTATTTTAAGGCTTCTTACGTTTGAATGTTTGTGCTCTAACCTAAGCTGTGACCAGTATTGACTATAGTTTAGATTGTGTCTCCCTCATGCATTTAGGACTTTGAAAGGAGAAACAGTGTAGGACTGCCTCTTTGTAGTTTATAACTTACAACTCTCTTTTAAGTAAGCTATTGCATGAATATATGTATTTATAGTTACCTATGATTTTCCATTTTAGACTATATGTGCACTCATTTGTGGACGTCCAATTGTAAAGCCAGAATATTTTTCTGAATTTCTCAAAGCAGTTGAGTCTAAGAAACAGCCTCCAGAAATTGAAAGGTATAAAACTTACGATAAATTTAATAAAATACAATATAGGAATAAATAGCTATTTGTTTTATTTATAATAATCCCATGTCAACTTTTCTTGTTGCCATGGAACAAATCTTAAATAAGTATCAATGTTTTGTTTGTTTTTGTTTTTTTAAGACAGGGTTTCTCTGTGTAGCCTTGGCTGTCCTGAACTTTGTAGACTAGGCTGCCTCCCTCAGTGCTGGAATTAAAGGCGTTTGCCATCATGCCTGGCTATAAGTATCACTATTTAAGGAATAAAATGTAAGGACAATGACCCTGAGGTCAGAAAGCACATATGACAATACCTAGCATCGTCTGGGGGAAGCCCCAAAGCAGTGTTGTGCGGCAAGACTCCTGAAGCCACAGTGTCCAGATCTCTAATCTTAGATACCTTGGTGCAAAAATGCGGCTAGGTTGGCTGTGGAGGCTCATGCTGACAGCTCCAACAGGAGCTGACAACTCAGCAGGAGGTGAAGGCAGAGGAATGACAAGTGGTGAAACCGTGCCTCAACAAAAAGAAAACACGATCAAGTATCGGGGTTGACTAACACTTTGTAGCTGAGTTATTTTAAGTATTAGTGATAACATAGTGTTTAAGATCTGATCATGTTATCTGAGAAAATGCTTGGTAAAAAGAAATGTTTGTTGTTAACTGTAAAATATCTGATTCATAGTCTTACTTTATTTGCTTTTGATATTCTGTCAAGTTTTGAACAGCCATCTTAGGAAATTTATGTATTCTGTAGTGATACTTTAAAATAATATAAGTTGTGGTTAAAGAGGAAGATACTTGACTTTTTTTTATAGGTTGCATGGTAAAGTTGCTGGGAACTATAAAATGGTAGGGTTTGTTTTGTTTTGTTTTGCTTTTAGTCAATATGATAAAGATGGGTTTTCTTGATACAAAATATGTCAGTAGACTAGACCGACTGTTTATGGGATTATCTCTATGGGATACTATGTTGTGCTTGAGGAAATTTTTTTTCTTGCATTCATTTATGTCTGGGCAAACATACCATAGCATACAAATCATCAAGCCCGGGGACCCGTGCCTGTACCCACTGAACCATGTCTCCAGTTGTTATCTTTGACACAGGGTCTCGTATGCCCCAGGCTGGCCTTAAACTCCTGTAGTGAAAAGATGACTTTGAACTTGTGATCATCTTACCTCTGCCTCCTGGTTGCTAGGATTACCGGTGAGAGTCCCAGTCCTCAGCTTCTGTGATGTTGGGAACAAACCCAGAGCTTCTCACATGCCAGGCAAGCACTCTGCCAGTTGAACTACATCCTCAGCCTCAAAGAAAAAATTTAATCAAAAAATTTTGCAAGTTAATAATTTTATCACCAATTTTAAACTCCCTAATTCAGGTCATTTTTTTTTTTTCCTGTACAGATTTTTTTTTCCTGGCTGGTCAGGAACTCACACTGTAGACCAGACTGGCGTTGAACTCACAGAGGTCTGCACGCCTGTGCCTCCCGAGTGTTAGAATTAAAGGCTACCACTACTCCTGTCTCCAGCGCACTTGTTTGAGGGACTATTTATGCTCCCGTTGATTATAGGTGTCTGTGTTTAAAAGTAGCCAAAAATGTAGAGTCTTGTGGGTTTTTTTGATTGGTTGTTTGGAGTATATACATACACATCATACATACATGTAAATGTATGTGCATATATATAAATTTTATCTAGGAGGTTTGTTTTATAATCTGGGTAGCAGGTAGCACACAGTAGTGGTTGGTTCTTAACCTTGAGTCTTACAGCCTGTGAGAACAGCCTCAGGAAGCATTTAGACAAACTCCTACTCTCCCTCAGAAGTCCATCTCAGCCTCTGGGACAGTCCACAAGTCATAGCCGTTGTTGATTCCAGAGTGCTTTAGGGCAGAGAGCCTGGTAGATGCTTATGGTTGGCTGTATGTCCTGTTCGGAGCTTTTAGAATTAGCCATTGAATTCTCCTCTCACTCGGATTTCTGGCTATTAATACACATGACCGCAGTGATACAATAGGACTTTGCTCTAGGAGAACTTTGGAATAACCCCTAACTCATTGTTAACCTGAAAAGGCTACTATAGTATCAGTGTTTTATACTGGTAATGACAGTGTTTCATATTAAGGGCATAGTGGTAGTCTTTTGTAATCCCAGCACTTGAGGCTTATATAGCAAGAGTGTCACAGTCAGTGATCTATAGCAAGACACTGTCCCAGAAAAACACCAAAAGTATGTAGTAGTAGGTCCTTACACCTGTCTACATCTATTAAGACCTAATACTCTTTTTTTTTTTTTTTTGAAGACCTGGTCTCATTATGTAGTTTTGACCACTCTTTTAGAGGACCCTGGTTTTGGTCCAGCACCCAGATGGTGAAGTCACACTGTCTGTAACTCTAGTTGAGGCCCATACATGATGCACCAACATATATTCAGACAAACATTCATAAACATAGAATATATATTAATAGAAATTAATATAAAAGGGATAGCAAATAAACTATAGTGACTTGATGTCACTCCACTTTGTTTAGTTCTGAAAACATGTGACTAGCTGTGAATTTAAATCAGAGGTATAGTATGGTATTATGCAGCAAGCGCTGTCCTTTATAGTCTAGTTATGTCTGCATCCCGCAGGTCATCAAACAATAAGACAGTCAACACTTCATATACCAGTGTGATTTTGTGATTCCTTGTTTCTGTAAGCCATTCTCAGTACTGGGATAGATGAAGTCATTTTTAGAAGACTCAGTGTTGTAAGATTGCTTAATTGTATCATGTATATTTTAATAGGAAAGTCTATATTATGTATGTCTAAATGTAAGGAGAAGAGGGAGTTCCCTTTCAGTTTGTACAGAACTCTCATGTTGTAACACTTTCTCTCAATTATTTGATTTCAAGCAAGCCTCTCACTGCTGGGAGAGTCTCCATAGATCTCTGGCAGTCATACATAGCTTGCTGGCTATGCAAAGACTACAGAGCTCTGCTAGCCCCTTCCACAGCCATTGCTGAGTACCATTTGCAGTGAGAAGTCTTGGGAGATGTAATATCTCTTTTGAAATAAAGAGCTTGCTTGCTGACAGGCAGTGGCATTCACAAAAGCAGTGCCCCTAACCCCATACCACAAATGGTTGCATGTGCCTTCTATACATTCTCTAAGGAACTTGGTTGAGAAGAGATCTGCCACAAACAACCTTTCAACTTTATTTTTTGCTTAAATATTTGTCTTGTTGCAATCATCTACCTTGGTGTTTTTATTTTAAGAAGTACAAAGGCATTTTGCTATAATATACGGAACCAGTATCAATCTTAGGAAAAGGCATCTAGATACTTGGGGCCATTTTGTTCCAGGTAAAATTCTTCACCAGCAAACAAAACAAAACAAAAAACCTCAAAGTACTGGCTTTTGTTTGGCTTTTCTTGCTATTTTTGTTGTTGTATCTTTTTATAACAGGATCTCACTGTGTTGCCCTGGCTGGTCGGTTGCTCATGTGATAACATGTTCTCTCAGTTACTTCATTTCATAGTGTAGGCCAGGTTAGCCTCAAACTGGCACTGATTCTCTGCTTGTGCCTCCTGGGCATACAGAGATGCATTGTGCCCGGCTCAAGTAATACCTTAATTCATCCTTTTTGGTATCAAGTAGTCACTTCATTTGCAAATTTAATAGCAATCATAGAGAATAGTACATAATTAAAACATTTTTTTTTTAATTTTTACAGTTTTTATCCACCTATTGATGAACCAGCAATTGGAAGTAAAATTGTTGATCTGTCAGGACGAAAGGAAAGAAAACAAATCTTCAAAGGGAAAACATTTGTATTTTTAAATGCAAAACAGGTAATTTTAAAGCTAAGATACATTACTGTTTTTTAAATTGTATTTGTTTATTTTTTTATGGGTGGGTGTTTTTTTCTGCATGCACATCACATGCATGCCTGGTACCTTTGGAGGTCAAATGACGATGTCAGATCGCCTGGGTCTAGAGTTACATATGGTGTGAGTTACTGCCATATGGGTTCTAGAAACTGAACCTAGATCCTTTGGAAGTCTGTCCAGTGCTCTTAATCCCCAAGGTGCCTCTCTGTTCTTAGGGATTTTCATTTTGGGTTTTGTATAGATATGTGAAGTAAGATAAAGAGCTACCTGTGCTTAGCTTCTTTAATTATACAAATTTTAGTATGTTTATCCTATATTGTATTTCTAATATCCACTTATAAGTGAGTATATACTATGTGTGTCTTTCTGCTTCTGGGATACCTCGATCAGGATGATCTTTTCTAGTTCCCACCATTTGCCTGCAAATTTCATGATTTCCAGTCCTCACTCAGAAAGGCAAACAGGACGGATAGGCAGAGGAAGAAAATAGAGAACAGGACAGGAGCCTACTACCACAGAGGGCTTCTGAAAGACTCTACCCGCAGGATATCAAAGCAGATGCTGAGACTCATAGCCACACTTTGGGCAGAGTGCAGGGAATCTTATGAAAGAAGGGGAGATAGAAAGACCCGGAGGGGACAGGAGCTCCACGAAGAGAGCAACAGAACCAAAAAAAATCTGGTCATGGGTCTTTTCTGAGACTGATAACTCCAGCCAAGGACCATATTTGGAGATAACCTAGAACCCCTGCACAGATGTAGCCCATAGCAGCTCAGTGTCCAAGTGTGTACCCTAGTAAGGGGAACAGGGACTGTCTCTGACATGAACTCAGTGGCTGGCTCTTTGATTACCTCCCCCGGCGGTTGGGGCGGGGGGGGGGGGGGAGCAGCCTGACCAGACCATAGAGAAAGGCATTGCAGACCCCGATAGGCTAGGGTCAGAGGGAAGGAGAGGAGGACCTCCCCTATCAGTGTACTTGGGGAAGGGCATGGGAGGAGAAAAATGAGGGAAGATGGGTTTGGGAGGGGATGAAGGAGGGGTCTACAGCTGGGATACAAAGTGAATAAGCTTTAATTTTTAAAAAGCCACCTGTGTGCAAAACCTACCCAGCGAATGTGTATCTGGGTATGGTATTCCTAACACTGGCTAGTTGTTCCATTCTATTCGTGTGGGTGCCTTAGTGGGGAGGGCAGAAAACATTCAAGTCCTACCTGGTTTAGCTGTGGAACATTTGTGCAGTGTCTTTTGTGTTCCAAAGTGTGGATTTTAGGAGTTGATATTGTAGTGGCAAAACCATGCAGGTGAACCAGCCTGTGGAGAACTCTGTCAGTGTGATGGGAAAACAGTGTAGTGAGGTGCGGGCTCGATGGGGCTGCTGAACTAAGGGTTTTCACAGTGGAAGCTCAGATCGCCCACTGGGAAGCAGGATGCATTCTTCTGTTTTAATTGCCAAGTCAAATTTGTACTCAATGAGAATGTGCTCAAAAACCTTGCTGCAGCTGTTGCTTTGCTTTTTAAATGCTTCCTCTGATTTCCAGCACAAGAAATTAAGTTCAGCGATTGCTTTTGGAGGTGGGGAAGCCAGGCTGATAGCAGAAGAAAACGAAGAGGAAGACAGTTTCTTTTCAGCTCCGGGAACCTGCGTTGTTGACATAGGAATAACAAACACTCAGATCATAGTTACTGACTCCCAGAAGAAGTGGATTAATTTGATAATGGATATGCTTCCAAGGTACAGAATTCTTCACAAATTGTAAATGCATGTAGATTTTACATGCGGTCTAGTTAATTGAGTGTCTACACAGAGCTACACGCCATGTTCTTGAGAATTCCTACAAGTACTTAGAATTGAGACGTTTGCCCTTCATAATTACATGTACTTACATATTGCATATTATATGTAATTCCACATACATATGTACATGCACACGTGCATACATACATGTGTGTATGCTAGCACGGGAAAGTAGGGAAATGTCAGCTGTTTTCTGGGATTTGGGTTTTTGTTTTTGGATGTCTTTTTTGTTTTTTTGAGGAGGTAGAGCTAGTCAGAAACTTGCTGTGTGGCCAAAGACGACCTTGTACTTATGATCCTCTTGTCTCTGCTTCATAAGTGATGGGATTACAAGCTTAAACCGTCATGCTAGTTTTTTGCTAGGAATCAAACATAGGGTTTCATGTGTGATAGGCAAGCAGTTTGCCAACTGAAATCTCAATACCTGATGTTCAGAACTATCCTCAGAGCCAAACTGCTGCCATCTTTAGGAATCTGACTGGGCCACTTAGAAAAAGATATCATAGCTGCCCCCTTTATCCGTCCATTGTTTTTTGGTGGGGGCTGAGGTTGGTGAGGGGAGTAGGGTCTCATTGTATAGTCCTGGCTGTCCTGGAACTCACTATGTAGACCAGGCTGACCTTAAACTCACAGATGTCCTCCTGCCTCTGCCTCTGGAGTGCGGGATTAAAGGTGTGGCCCACCACCCCCACTATAGGCTTTTTGACTGCTGGCTTTTCCTCGTAGGAGCTGTGGGGAGGGATTAGCCCTCCCCTGAGAATCTAGCCACCCTCCCAGCCAGCTGTAGCTAATTGTGCCCTCCTTCCTTGTGGAAGGGGTAGAGGATAGAGGCTGGGAAGGACAGCCTTAACTGCTAACAAGTCTCTTGTAGGCCTAAAATCTTACTTTTAGTGCAATATTGTTATAGTTGGCACATGCAATAGAACTCTAAATCCAGAGCACATAAAATATCTCGCTTAATTCAGATTTCCACAGTCATTTAAAACAGTCTTCAATGAGTATTAAAAGGTCTTTGTAGCTTAATGTTTAAGCTATAGTTTCTCTGTTCTAATAAAGTAATTCATATAGAATGTAGCAAAGCGAGTCCCCATAAGACTCTTAAATGAAGTACTTTGAGCCAGCCAGTAACCTATGATCCCAGGAGTCTCGGTGCCGAGGTAGGAGGATCACTAGTCAGTGCCTGAATGTATGAGGTTGTGTTGACTTAATTTCCTAACCTTGTGTGCATATGTAGACAGGGGCTGTTCCCCACCTCTTTGCTGTCTGGGGATCAGTGGAATCGTAGATTTGTTTATGAAGGTCTATTTTGTGTCTCTCTGGATAGAACTGTTGGCTTATTCTGAAAATTATCATAGAAACTTAAAACTGAAAAGTCTTCATCCTTTGCTCTAGCCTTTTTTTTTTATTGATGATGGCAGCCAGGTTGCTGGAAAATGATGGATTTGCCCCAACAACACTGCTCTAGTGAAGAATTCAGAAATACTCTTTACACCTAAAGTTCTGTCCATGCCATAAAATTTTAGTGTCTCTTTGGGGAGAAAGATAGATTTATAAAGCTTGATATTATATTAAAGTTGTTAGTTTTGATATATTACTATATTTAAGCTATTTTATTCTTATAGGCATGGACTTAGACCAATTCCTGAAGCAGAAATTGGATTGGCTGTTATTTTTATGACTACAGAGAATTACTGTAATCCACAGGGCCAGCCTTGTACAGGTAAATAAGACATTTTATTGATTCTTTAGAAAATGTATTTATTTGTGTTTGTTTGCTTGCTTATTTATTTATGACCTTTCTGTTGTACTTGCAAGGTATAACCATATACATCTTCTTTTAAAACCCATCTATTTGTACATTCCTTCATTTACTCATTTAGTACATAGTTCTGCCATAGACTGGGTGCTGCTCTAGTTGCTGAAGATTCATTAATGACTACAGTGGGCAGGACCCTTGTTCTTTTGAACTCTGTTCTAAAGGTCAAGGTTTGGACAGTGAACAAGCAGAGTGCAGTGCAGTTCAGGATAGCCGAGTATAAAGAGGAAGCCAACAAGCTGTGTTAGCCTAACTGGAAGCATGCTCTCCGGGTTCCCTGAAGACTCTTGAGTTTCCGGTAACCTGAACTGTTTAGGCATGGCAGCTTCGTGGGGTCTGATGTAGAATTCCAGGCCAAAGGGTCAGATGGCTCTGGTGTGACAAATAGATTCTTAGTCCCTTCCTGTCTGCTAAAGATCTGTCCCACTTTTTAGAAGTAGCATGTGCTGTTTGATTTGTTGCTGGGGGCCAAATGTTTCAATAATTTCAGGCAAAAACAACAGCCATGAAAATAGCTACTGCTCTTGTGCCAGTAGCTCCTCTGACTCTAGGCCCCCCAGCCCTGTTTTTTGTCTCTTGTAGAACACAAATTCTCAACTATAAATATACTGCAGAAATATTTCTTACTGTACATTGGAATTCTTTATTTCAGAATATTCTGGGAAGTGGCTGAGGCAGCTGGATGTTTTATTTGGTTGTAAACATGTTTCTTGTACAGACCACAAGAGCCTTTGGCTTTGAATGTCTTGGGAAGGACTGGGCCAGAGAGTTCAATTTAAAGGGATAGACCTCAGACTGCAAACTTCTGCCTTTCTTATCCCCTCTCTGATTCGTTACTCAGATCATAAATTCACCCTCAGGCTGGAGAAATGGCTTAGAGGTTAAGAGCACTGGCTGTTCTTTCAAAAGTCCTGAGTTTAATTCCCAGAAACCACATGGTGACTCGCAACCATAATGAGATCTGGTGCCCTCTTCTGGCTTGTAGACACACATGCAGACAGGATACTGTGTAACTAATAATAAACCTTTTTAAAAAAGAAAAAAAGAAATTAACCCTCAACCAAAGCTTCAGCTTCTGCCTTCCTCCTTCCTGCCTGAAGCCACTGCCCTTGTTACACCTGAACTTTTCTTGCAAGGTCTGTGGTGGATCCTGGTAATGGGTCTCCCATCAAACTCATCACGACAGCTCATACTTCACTGCCCTAATAGCCCTACTATTCTTTCTTTCTTTTTTTTTTTTTTTTTCCTGAAAACTTTTATTCGCCACTCATTGAGAACAGAACTTTGTATAAATTTAATCTGGCTCCTCGATAGTTTAGCCAAATCCTCTCTCCTTGAATTCTTACCACTTCCCAGTGCCTCTACAAAATACTTAACACCTTTTTATTTTTTAGCCCTTAAACTTCATAACTTGTTGGTCATGTTTGTTTACTATCATTCCAGGCTGCCCATTATCGAATACTCATTTCCCTTGTGTTTACCTTTTGTGACTTTCATGTGCTTTAAATAATTACTTCAATAACTTTTTTTTTTCATTTCAACTATAGAGTTTATGGGACTAACCAATTATTTGCCTCATTTAACCCATAGCGTATATAAGCTCATAGCTTGTTTTTGCTGCCTGACAGCAGCAAGCATAGTATTTGTTACAGTAGGTATAAATATTTGTTTAATTGACTTAGGTTATTGGTTCACAAGGTTATCTTTGTCAGTGTGGACCAGCAGACTTTTATATCTACTATTCATGGGTAAACACCCTTAGAGATCATAGAATCTTTTGCTTGAAAAGTTAAGAGGTAGAATTAACATTGTAGTTCAGAGGCTAAGTGCATGCCTAGCACATATTAGGCTCTGGGCTCCATCCTCAGAAACTAACTAACTAACTAACTAACTAACTAACTAACTAACTAACTAGATAAGTAGGTAAATGTGTAAATGGGTAAATAATAAAGCATTATAAAAGCTGGCAAGTAAATATACCAAATATCCTGTAGTAGAAAAAGAAGAGTAAATAAAAATTAAACATGCATAAACCAGAAGCTTTATTTAGTAATAGCATTATTAGTGTTGATTTATTAGTTTTAACAGTTGTGTTATATCAGTGGTTCTCAGCCTTTCCTAATGTGACCCTTTAATACAGTTCCTCATTCACTGCTACTTTATAACTGTGATTTTGCTACTGTTATGAATATCTGGTATACAGGGTATCCGAAATGTGATTCCTGTGAAAGGGCATTCAGTCCCCAAAGGGGTCATGTTGTAACTATAAAATGCTAATAGTAAGAGACACCGGGTATGTGAGAAATCTCTGTACTAATGGTCAATTTTTCTATACATCTAAAACTTACTGAAATTAAAGTTCATCATAAGCTTTTTAAAAAAGCCACAAGTGAGGTGGTTGGTACAAGCGTGAAATTGCAGTATTCCAAAGGCAGAGGCAGGAGGAACAGGAATTCAAAGGTAACCACACTCTGAGCTCAAGGCCAGCATGGGCTTTATGAAAGCCAATCTCCAAGGGAGGTGGGGCACATATCAAAGGTGAGAAAATTTGAGATTTTATAACTATCAGGGCCAAATTGATCTTTTATTTGGTTTTCCAACCCGCAGATCAGTGCTTTCTCTAGTGTACAATTCCATATAGAAACCAGGCAGTGAGAGGAGATGAAAGTGTCCACTGTACGTAGACACTTCTGCACATTCTCAGAGGTAGACTTGAAGGGCTCTGAGTAAATGGTCGTGTACCACTCAGTCTCCTTTCCCTTCTCGTCTTCAGATTCGTGGACTTATGTTATTAGCAAATATCAGCGGTGATTGCGTATATGCCTATAATCACGTTAAACACTAGGGCTGAGGAAGTGAGGTGCTCACACCAGATGGTTAGAGTAACAGCTAGCAGTGACGTGGTCCTGCTGGCTTCTCGGGTTCTCCTATTGCTGTGCATATGTCAAACAGCTTGAGGGGTTTATCATTGTTTCCATCTTGCACGTAATGGCTTAATTTTTTTTTTCTTTCGGCTTGCATGATGTACAGAATTAAAGACAACGACTCCAGGGCCAAGCCTTTCGCAAGGCTTGTCAGTCAATGGAAAAATAATGCCAAGTGCTCCGGTGAATATGACATCATATGTAGCCGACACAGAATCAGAGCCAGCGGATACATGGTAAAATGTCTTTTTTAGCATGCTGTTGTCATTATTTTATCAATTAATAGCATATTCAAGAAAAAGTTGCTGCTTTTACCAAGTCATCTTTTAAGAGATAAAGCATGGAAGGAGATGCCAGGAAAAATGATATCTCATAGGATCAGCAGATTTTCTTTCTTTTTCTTTTCTTTTCTTTTTTTTTTTTTTTTTTTTTTTGAGATTATAATTACATCATTTCCCCCTTCCCTTTCCTCCCTCCATGCCTTCTCTTAACCCCTCTTTAAAATTTGTAACCTTTTTTCCTTTGGTGTGTGTGTGTGTGTGTGTGTGTGTGTGTGTGTGTGTGTGTGTACTCCTAAATGCATAGATGCAATCTGCTCAGGCTGTGTAATGTTACTTGACGTGATTTTTGGGGCTGACCACTTGGTGTTGGATAACCAGTTGGTGTGTTCTTCCCTGGGGAGGCTTTCTCCCGCTCTCAGCATTGCTTTGTTGGCTATAGTTCTTTCAGCAAGGAAATTTATGGAAGTGTGAGCTGTTGGTCTGTGTTATAGTTCCCTAACTCTGCCGTTGTAGAATCAGAGAAACTATTGGCAGCATATGGCTGCCTGTGTGTGGTATGTGGATCTGAATTAGTCTGTGAGCAATGCTTCTACCACCTTAGGGTAATTGTTGTCATTTCTTCAAATGTATTTGAAAGAGAAAAAGAATTTGTGACTGATGAAATAAATTTGAAATAATAGTCGTCCCTAACTAATTACATGTATTTTTAATTACCCATAGTAAATCGATGTCTAAAAGTATTGAATGGAAAATTGCTGAAACTAGAAATTTCTAAGTTTTAAGTTACACTTCTGAATATCATGATGAATCTCCTAGCATAGTGGTCCTCAACCTTCCTAATGCTGTGGCCCTTTCATGCAGTTCCTTATGTTGTAGTGACCCCGCCATAAAATATCTGTGTTTTATGATGGTCTTAGGCGACCCCTGCAGAAGGGTCATTTGACCCTCAAAGGGGTCACAATGATTTTGAATCAGTGTCATGTTATCTTCCCTAGTGCACATTATTCCTTTGTTCTGCAGGTCCACACTGTATATGCTACCAACTTCCTGGTCGCTGCGAGCTGTTGCAGTTACTGTTTCAGTGCTTACGTCCATGTAATGTTTTCATAGTCACCTGATGCTGTATCACAGTGCCTAAACAATTCGGTTCTCTTTATTTTAGCCACATAGTGATGGTTTTATGTCTTATCATAAGAAGGGTGGGTATGGTGCAGTGAGATATTTTGGGAGATGCCACATCCATGTAACTTTTATTACAGTGTGTTGTAATTACTGTCTTATTAGGTACTGCTTTTCTACTCTAATTTACGCCTAATTTATAAACTAATAATATATATGCATAAAAGTATACATTTATAACTGGGTGCGGTGGTGCATGCCTGTAATCACATACTTGGGGAGACAGAGGCAGGCAGATCTCTGAGTTCAAGGCCAGCCTGGTCTACAGAGTGAATTATAGGACAGCTAAGACTACACAGGGAAACCTGTTTCAAAAAACCACAAAAAGAAAGAAAGAAAGAAAAATATGTATTTACAGAACTTGACGCTAGCATTGGTTTTAGTCCTCAAGTACCTGATGGTCTTGGACTGTATTCCTCATGAATATGGGGATATTCGAATAAACATGCTAATTGTATACTTGTTTCGGGGAGCTGTCCAGAGATGACCACTCAGGCACAGCTTATAGCCAACTGAAAGCTTTTTCCAGGCATCTGGGACTATACTTAAGTATTTGGACCTAAGTTTAGCCCTAAGCATTTAGACCAAGGGGCTTCTAAAGGCAAAAGCTACATCCTGTTATCTCGCTCAGCAGCTACCGAGGGAGGTTTACACAGGCAGGCATTAACAGAAGCTAAGCTAAGTTAGCTGGGGCATCTTGGCTTTGGGCCCTAGAGTAGAGATAGGTAATTTGTCATGGAATTCTTCATGAAGGAGATGATGTTCTCATTAAACCGAAATGGCCTCAGCAAGCGTATGAGATGGAGGTACATGTGCACTGTCTTGCCCTGTACATAATGCCTGTAATTAAATATTGGATATCCAGATAGTTAATATCCATCCATAGTAGTTTTTAAATGGTTTCTGTTTTTGACTTGAAGAGTTCTGTTTCTTTTTTGTTTTTCTTGTTCAACAGAAAGGGTTACTGTCTTTGTATTCTCTGATGGTTTCCATTTAAGTCTTATTTTCAGTATTACACGGTATTAAATAAAATAAATTTTACATAGGCCTACCACCTAGTTTAGTATACAGAAGGATACTACGTTAAGGACATAAGTGTGCTTAGCAGTTGTTTTTAAGACAGTGCTTAAAAGTGTGTGCTTTGGGGAGCCTGATGGTCTGTGCTGCCAGGAGAGAGAATATGATTTCATCCTCAGGCACTTAGACAGCAGGTGTGCTACTTTCTTGGATTATCACCTAATCTTCTGAAGTTGTATTTACCAGAACATTTAGAGAACTTCGTTATTAAATAAAAATTGCTCCTGATTGTTTGCCTTTCCTTCCTTTTTCTATAGTATGTCTCTGAGTGAAAGACCAAAAGAAGTACAGATCCCTGGAATGAAACAAAACTCTAGAAAGCTTTCACAAGACACTTACAATATAAAGGAGGCCCCTAAATCAAGCTCCAAAACGAATAATGTGGCATCAAATATGATGGTTAGGGAAAAGATCCCAAACTACCAGCTGTCACCAATGAAACTCCCTGCTGCAAATAAAAGTAAAGATTGGACTTCTCAGCAGCAACAGAACTCCATCAAAAACTACTTCCAGCCATGTGGCAGAAAAAGGTATGTTGTCAGTAATTCTTCAGCTTTGTCTCTGAAAACAGACAAACAAAGGTTTGAGTGCTCTGTTGAAATAGAAACACAATGTTTCTGTAGAAAGCTTTATATTTCTGGTTTTTTAAATTGTTCTCCCCTCCCTCTGGTGTGTGTGTGTGTGTGTGTGAGACAGAACTTTTACGGAGGTCAGAAGGCAACTTGTAGGTGTCAGTTCTGTCTACATCATGTGGGTCCCCTGCATTGACTGCACGTTGTCGGTGTCATTGTCAGGGTTTCTGTCACTGTAATGAAACACTATGAACAAAAGCTTGTGGGGGAGGAAAGGGTTTATTTAGCTTTACACTTCCATATAGCTGTTCATTATTGAAGGAAGTGAGGACAGTTCCTGGTGGCAGGAGCTGATTCAGGAGCCATGGAGGGCTGCTGTTTACTGCCTTGCTTCCCAGGGCTTCCCTAGCCTGCTTTTCTTATAGAACCCAGGACCACCAACTCAGGGATGGAGACACCCACAATGGGTTGGGCGCTCCCCTTACTCCGTCACCCTACTGCTGGATCTCCTGGAGGCATTTCCTCAATGGAGGCTCCTTGCTGTGTAATGACTCTAGAGTGTGTCAAGTTGAGACACAGAACCAACCAATACAGTCAGGGTTGGTGGCCCTTATCAGCTGAGCTGTCTTGCTGGTCCAGTGTTTTTTTAATCTGGGCTCATTCCACCTTGGTTTTGTCCTAAGCCCCTTCCCTAGGCCCATTATACAGACTCAACTTTATTTTTCTTCATCTTTCTTCTACTTGAGCTTTTGTTTTTTGTGTGCTGCCCATCATTAGGAAAGGTTAACCAAACCTAAGTTCCAGAATCATTTTTTTTCTTGTATTTTTCTATAATAATATATCTTGCAAGGTAAAAAAGGTAATTTACTTTATTGTAATCCTTAATTATTTCTTCTCTGCCTCCCCAAATCTATCTTTCTTCTTTACTGTACATTTCTGGCCAGCTGTACACTTAGATCTTTGACAACCTAGAAAGCAGGGAACCAAGTGTGAGTCCTCTGGACTATGGTAAAATGAATGGTGTGCTGTTACAGAAAGTACTTTTAGAAGATAGGCATGGAGTCTCATGCCTATAATCGCAGGCTGAGGCAGGTGGATCTCTGCATTCAACGCCAGCCTAGTACAAAGTGTGTCCAGGACAGCCAAGGCGAAGGAAGGAAGGAGGGAGGGAGGGAGGGAAGGAAGGAAGGAAGGAAGGAAGGAAGGAAGGAAGGAAGGAAGGA